CTACGGTAGCGCCACGCTGCGGCGTGACGGGCCGCGCCGACGACCAGCAGCTGGAGAAGGAGGGGGAGGAGGGAGAGGGGGAGGGGGGACTGCGCGGCGGCGCGGGTGCAGCCTCGCGCCCGGAGTCCCGGCTGGTGCAAGAGATCAAAGGTCTTGCTTCAGACCCCGCGCCGCGATACGTCAGCAGGGGGGGTTCGCGCGGATCGGCGGCCAATCGCCTGCCGCAGCCCCCTCCCCCTCCTCGCGCGCGCTTCCCCGCCGATCTTCGACTCGGGACGCCGGCTGGACCGCGCGGGCAGTGCGCCTCTCGAGCGCGGAGGAGCCGAGCCATCTCAGGAGGAATGTTCTACGAACGCGCCGAAATCCCCACCCGTTGCAACTATGATTTGTTCTTTCATTTAATTATACATCGAATTTTGAAGTGGTCGATGACATTTGGTTGTTATTACACCCCATGCCGTACAAAATGAATATTTTTAATTAATTTGCAAACGTTCATCTAAATGGAACTTGTGGTCTCAGACATGTGCTTACCACTGTTAAATAGATTCATTTTACAAGGCAGGAGGTGACACAATGACCTAATGCCATCGGCCACCTGAAAAAAATCGAAGCGTTTAGTGAGAAAGTGATTGATTAATTAAGGGATACTCTGAGTTAATTACTCGTATAGTTACTTCTAACGTTTGATCAACTGGGACGTGGTTATACAATCGGGTGCTTTCACATAAAAAATTAAATAAAAAAGCGCTCGATTGGAAAACCGCGGAGCTGATCAAACGTCAGAATTCACTATAATTGGAAACACAGAATACCTTCAGCTGCCAATTCGAATTCACATGGCCACATGCTGCTCTTCGTGAACGTCATAGAGAGATCTACAATAATGTCAATATGGAAGGCTCTTTGAGAAATTGGGACAAAGAGATAAGAAGACAACGTGGAGAATGGACGAGTGTATCGGTTACCTTTTCTAGATGGCAGGGGAAGTTTTGGTTTGTGAATTGCTCTTTAGGTTAGGGACTGCGTGTGGGAATCCATTTGGGAGTTTTGCGTTACGCAAAATAATTACGGGAGAGGTTAATCTATATTGTTACTTGATTTACAGAATGCGAAAAGTGTACGTCTAGAGATGTGTTGGATTGTTTTGTAAAACACGTTTCTTGTCCGCATTGTTAAGAATAACATAAGGCGAGATATCCTGATCGTCGAAACAGAACCAGTGTTTTCAAAATAAACACTGCCAGCTCAAGAACACGTAATGCAATTATTGAATTAGTTTTCCTTCTTTTGGTCTCTTAACTTAGCGGTCGTTAGTTTTGTCCACAACAGTCGAGATACAATTTCACGACTAACATGGGCATTCTTCTCACAAACAATAACATAGACCCGTAGTGTTTATTTGAAGTTGGTTTGAAAAGGTTTTGTACAGCAGTAGATCTAGTCATTCAGTAACACCATTTCCACTGACTACCAGTCTCTATCAGCTGCTGCTATTTGTGCAAGAGATAAGATGAAGCGTGTTGGTTACCATTCATCTATGGAATCGCATGAGAAGTAACAGTTACACTTACGGACTGTTAGCTGAAAAGCTATTGTGAAATAGCCTACTTACAAACATTGAACCCAATATCTACCAAAACTCATCTCATCCGGGCAGCACTCGGTGCGAATATACAATTAGTACATTTATCACACACACACACACACACACACACACACACACACGTATTCTTTACATAGTAATCGAGTAAACTCCGTCTGTCCGTCATTCAAGTCTGCTCTTCCACTTTCGATCCACCAATCAAGGGAAATGAGGTATCATTCTACGCGTCTTTTTGATTGACTAGTTGATTGATTGATTGGTGATTCCGGGTACGTGAATTGCTAGGGTCATTAGTCCCTTAAGCGTAGTACTCTTTTTTACGCGGAGGTGGCTGTCATCTTGCCTCGCTGGATGACGACCTACGTCGTTTTGCGGATACTTTCCCCAACCAGGTATCTCTCCAGCGTGGCATCGCCCCAGCCGGCCTAAGCTCAAGCTCCCGATATGTGTGGTAGTGTAGACCACGTGATTGTGTAAGTAACGGGTGAGGATAGGACAAGAGGCCCGTTTGTAAAGGATTTGCTGACAAGCTAGTGGCGAAAATCCTAACACTGCCGTCGGAATTCGAATCCTAGGACTTTCCGGTCAGAGGCACTGCAGTGGAATCAGTAGATGCCCTGAACTACTTTTGCGTGTTTCTACGCGTCTTTGTCACCAGGTACATACTGATCATTTTTTTTCAGATCCGCCCAGAAGATTATAAGAAATTTCACTGAAAACGTGTCTTCAGTTTTTTAAGCAACTGACACACCTTTTGGTTGATTTTCAGCATCTACGATGGTGTTCAATATCTCATACGATTCCTCTCAAAAAGACTAATCGATTGACACAATTCTTAGTTGGTTCCCGGTAAGATATTCTGGAAAAACTATTTTTTTTTAAACGGCATTTTGCAGTATTGGATGAACCGTATGTAGGCAAAGAATCGTGTAAAAGATGTTCTCAGGGGAGAGAAACGAGAGAGTTGTTTGTTGTACGAAGGAAATGACTCATGTTGAAAAAAAAATGATTTCATAAATAAAATTTGTTCAAACAATTGGTGGTCCCGACAGATTCTTTGGACAAATGTATTTATTAAAATGCACTCTTACTCAGTAACATCGTCACAATTTGGATTTCTTTACGACTGCGGAACATATTCACAGAGTGTAACTGCGTCCAACAAGGTGATGGGTAGGTGACAATTACATATGTATGATTTCAGTCAATGGCGCATACCAGGGGGGGGGAGCTCAAGATGCTTTAGTACCGAGCTTTTCCACTAAGGTCGTAATTCATTGGTACCAAAAGAAGCCGTCTGGAGACTTCTAGCGGCCGCTCTGATTGGTATTTTTCCGAGGTTTCTTCTAACAGTATCACGGAACAGAACCCTAACAAACGTGCCAAGGACTGCAAGCGATCTTTCCTTCCTCTTCTTAGTCCTAACCGCATTCCGTACTTAGACCTACACTAACATGCACTACACTACCACACAAGCCGGGAGACCAGTTGGGAGCTTAGAACATATCCCGGTTGGGGCGGTGCGCCGCTGGTGGGAGGTATGTGGTTTGAGAAAAGCCATCTAGGCGACGGTAGGTCAGTGCCAGACCTCGCCATCCAGCGGCGAAGGGCCACCGCCACCTCCCGAGGGGGAAACGCGAACTAAACTTACGGGAATAATGACGTTGGCCGTCGACAAGCCCGAAATCACCAATCAATCAATCGATACCAAAAGGAAGTGCAAGCAGCATCGTCAGTATAATAATATAAACTACTTAAAATAGATATTTAAATATAAACTTTCAATGCAACTAAGTGAAATGCTGCAGAGGTGAAATGTGAATTACTATAGTCTCTTTCCGGCATTTGGATGAATCGTTATGAATTAATTCATCTGATTGACGTTAATTAAATCTATTTTTGTAAAGAAACAACAAAAATCAATTATTTGAATCGCGCAACGCTCAAATAACACTTTTTAACGTAAAAATACACGCTGGAGGTACCATTCTAAGCGAGTATTAATACTCTGCCACAATGGAAACAAACGCAGAACTCCACCTAACTTCCTCTCCTTTCGAAGAGCGAGCATTTTACAGAGAGTGGACCACGCCCAAAATAGCTCTTAGATATTCAAATTAGCTAGTTTTAAATCAATTTCACTTCCATGAAGAAAGACTAAAGAAGATTTGTAATTAATGCAATTAAAAGATCCACTTCAGTTTATATGTCTGGAGGTAATCTTAAAGAAATCTAGCTAATAGGAGACCTGCAGAATAATACAAGTGGCTTAAAACTAGCTCCTGACCGAGGTTTCTACGCAGCAATTGTAATGCTAAGATATTCTCATTATACCCAAAACGAATTGGCATTTCCCAAATACCTCAAAATTGTAGTAGGCTCATCGAAGATATAATTTTAACCATGAAATGATCGTAGTCGATGCAACGCGATTGCCCTTTACTGTATTTCGTGTTAGTAAGCGATGTTTATCGTGTGCCTCAGAGCATTATTATAGATTTCCATGGGCATGATAATTCTTTTAAGCGTACAACGTTGAACGCAATTGTACTGGACGCGGGGAAGTGTCTTATTAACTGTAATTGGTATTGTCGTCAGTGTCTCGGGTCAATTAGAAAACATTACTATCTTTCCCAACGTTTTTTAATAATATGTTAAAGATAAACAGGCTTGCGAAGGCTTTGCCGTCACCAGTTTACTATGCTCCAGGCGAAAGTCGCGCATTCATTCTGTGACTTTCGCCTTCTTGACTCACTACTAATGACGAACTGTCGAAAACCGCTAACTTGTGAAGAAAAAAACATTCATAAAATATATTTCCCTAACATCCTGAAAATCCTGTTAATGAAACTGAAAAATTACTAAGATTAAATGCCATAAGAAAACGGTTGTTGGAAAATTATGTTGCGGTTTCTTTTTCGAGAACACAAGTGTAAGGCGTTTATTTTATCAGTGATCTGTGAAGTTGGTTCATGATCCACGTTTGGTTCGATAGTCCAGCTTTGTAGGAGGGCATTTTCAATTCACTGCGTTCAAGGTCCCACGTGAGTCCAAGAGTGCAGCTCCCCTGGCTGCGCAGACAACTAGCACTTGCACTTTTCTTTCAGAGGTCTTCCGAAATCAGAAATTACAGATCACAGTCACATATTTCCGAAACTCAGCACGATTTTTTTCTTTGTATTTTCAAACATTGTTGACGAAATGGACAAGGAGGCGTCCTTGTGGAGTTTTGGAACTGATTTATAATTCTTACATCAGATGTTTTCTCTCGCGGTCAAGTTTAAAAAAATGTGAGTAGTGTAGTCGTGAGAATATACTTAGGAGGCAGCTCTGACACTCCTTAATAGTTACCACTTTGTAGCATTTGCAAACGCCGCTTAAATTTCCCCCCCTCAGTTTTAATATTCAAAAGTAAATACAATAACAAAGATAACAACAATAATAATAATAATAATAATAATAATAATAATAATTAATAATATATTGATTTTGATATGGTCGAGTGGAAGAGCATGCATTTTCGGAGCCTCACAGCTAATAAAGATTACTTTATCTGATACGCAATTATCAATCGTTCCCTGTTTATAAATCGCATATTTTAGGTATGGTTGTTAGGATATTTTTAAGGGGAAGAATGGCAAATTCCAAGTCCATTGTGGCCGGCATAAGTTCTCTAGAATCTACGCCTCTGCTTCTTGCTGAGGTGGGTGTCACCGCGTTGGCAGTAAGCACCGTTAGAACGCGCCATTACGACAGTGATTGGTTTCAATGAACGCTTACGTAATGCAATATGTATGTTGTGTGAATGGGAAAAAATCTTATGAAGCATTAAAAAAGACAAAACAATGAACATTCCCCAGTGGTATGCAAAATACTCTGTAGCAATTCACGTACACCAAAGAATATGCCTCTAAATGTGAACCATTAGATTTAAACCAGCATTAAATTAATTTTAATTCGTAATCGAAGTAAACACTCTTCGACTACTTTACTTAAGTTGCTAAGCTGCAAGATTGAGCTGCACGTCACAAAAATTAAAATAATAAATTATCAGGTCTATGGCCATGCCCCTCCCCCATGAAAATTGTAATAGGTGTCCCGTATTCCATAATAATTTATTTTATCTCAGAAAACATGTTCTATACTTTATTTTCCCCTCTTTTAACACTTTGGGGAATTCTTACGTGACAAGGCATCAGGCAACCTGTAAAAGGTTCAACCTAAAATCAATTGTATTTATTAATCGTTCATTGTGTAATATGTTTATTTATTTCCGAGTAAAAATGACACAAGTAAGTAGTAAAAAAAATTCGAATTGAAAAAGGGGCCCAGAAATGTACCTGTCCCCCCTCCCCCCGCTTGTTGTAGACCGTGCACCCCTATGGACGGGAGTAAAGAGAGGAAGGCGCCTTCGCTCCGCTCGTCTTGTTTGCAAACACGGGCGCCGTCGCTTCGTCCGTGTGCGGGGCGGGGCGGGGCGGGGCGAAATGTCAAGGCACAGGGGCGGCGCGGCGCGGCGCGCGGGGAGCGAACGCCGGCCTTCGGGAGCAGCTGGGCGCCGCCGGGCGCGTTGCGTAACGGACCCCAGGCCCGCCCGCTCCCTAGACCTACGCCGCTGGTCTTGCCATGTGCCGCGTCGTTACCCGGCCAACGCCTGTTCCGGTCTACTCTAAAGGCGGCTCCACACTCACGGTGTTCGAAAATGAGGGAGCCCAAACCCACCGAGAGAGGTGCTCAGGGCATCAACTGGTGTCACTGCAGTGCCTCTGACCGGGAGGTCCTAGGTTCGTGTCCCGACGGTGGCAGAATTTTCGACACTAGCTTCTCAGCTAGGTTGAATTCAGCCGCTGTGTAAAGGAGAATTCTCGCTACCCGCTGCTCTGATCGGTAGTTTTCCTTGGTTTCTCCGATCTATGGCCGGCGAAGGCCAGAGTAGTACCCTAACAAACGGCCACGGAACGAAAACGATATTTCTTTCTTCTTCATTGTCCTATCCTCACCCTTTACACACACCCACACTTACACTAACATGCACTACACTGCCATACATGCCGGGAGAAAGGTCGGGAGCTTAGAATTTGTCCAGGCTGAGGCGATGCCCCCGCTGGTTGGAGATACGCTGTTAGGAAAACCCCGCTAGCCAATATTAGGACAGTGCCGGTTCTCACCATCCAGCGGGGGAAGACCAAAGACACCTCCTTAGGGGGAAACATGCACTACACTTATAGGAATAATGATCTTAGCAGTTGACGCGCCCGAAATCACTAACAATCAATCAATCAATCAGACGCCGAATCCTGAGTAGTGTGGATGAGTTGCTTACTATTTGCCGAGTGACCAACATTCGATGCTTGACCTACTTACCGCGTGTAGGTCTTTTAAACACATCAAAGAAAGTGAACACTCGCCGAACACATCAGCTGCTCAGGTTGAGGCGAGCAGTAGGCGAATGTCGATTGTCTGGAGCTGCCAGCACCAGTCTCGGAGACGCACTGACCTTGCGTGAGTAGTACGTTCGCGCGCAGTCGTTCGATTACTTGTGAGCGTGGAGATAAATTCGGATTCCACATATGAATATACGAGGGTAATAAAAATAATAGTTGTGACATATATATATAATTTATTATACAATTGTTAATACTTAAAGGTTCAAATGCACATGAAAATAAATTAGCAATTACTGTAGGTTAATATTTTTTTTTGCAATATACGGTTTCTACTCTGGACTTGTGAGATACGAATACTATAAATATTAATTATTGAGAAAACAAAATGTAAATCTTAAATTCAAAACGAGTGACAAAGTGTCAAGATGACACTTACATTCTCCCTTTTACTTCACCTTTCACTCTATTTTTACTTCTGCCTGCCCTCTCCGCTCTCTCTCCCGTTCCTTCTACTAGACCTCTTGTACCGCCAGAATTTAGCGTATACTCGAAGTAATAATAATTTGTAAGTTCTCATTATTTCCTGCTCTGATCCTCCGTGTTTATTACATAACAATCTGCTTTTCACCTTCTCTTTGAAGACAAATTCCATTCAACTTTATTCCTTCTAGTTGAGATTCTCTTCTAATTATATATCTTTACTCCACCAAATACAAGGGAGGTGGAGAATTAAATTTCACATCAATGGAATTTTAAGATTACAAAAGTGAATTCTCTTTATATCAAAAGAATTACAAAAGTCTCTTTCATTACATGAATAAATGAGAGAAATTCTATGGATTGATTATTTTGGGTTTCTGGGTGCAACAACATCTATTCACTAGTCCCGTAGTGCATGTTATAAATCGGGCGGTAATGATGTTTGTCGCCCGTTGGTATGTGAGTACTGGCACCAACCTTCACGACAGCTTACGGGGTTTTCCCTTTCAGGTATCTCCGCCAGCGGAGCACCATCCCAGCCAGGATAAGCTTTAAGCTTGTGGGTAGTATAATGCATGTGTGTGTGTGTGTGTGTGTGTGTGTGTGTGTGTGTGTGTGTGTGTGTAAGGAGAAACGATAGAACAAAGAAAAGGAACGAAAGATGGCACGCGGCTCGTGGCCCGTTTGTTATGAAACTGTTCTCACATTTGTCTGGTATTGATTGGAGAATCAACTATCGATCAGAGCAGCCAGCCGCTAGAATTCTCCTCCAGACAGCGGCTGAACTGAATTAGCTAGCATGTAGTAGCTGGTGAAGACAATCCAGTATTGTCAGGACTCGAACCCTAGGCCGTTGCAGTGTAATTATATGCAGGGCGCTCAGTACTAAGGCGTAGAGATGCGGTATCGATGTCAACGTTTTCAAAACATCGATATTGCTGTAGAACATTGATTTTTACACATATGTGTATTGAAACCAATGTTTTTTTTTTATGGCATCGATGTTTGGTGCTCTATTTTTTACATTTTAAGTTTTGTTGGTGGATGAAAAATTCCCACAATCATAAATTATTTTGTAAAAGTTAAAATATGATCCCACGTGAAGAGAAAATATTTCTCGTCTTCCCACGACCTTCTCCGTACCCCCTTGACATGACCCTGACCGCTTGGGCTTTCACGATCTATTTTTAATTTGTTTTTATTATTTTTTTACTATGTTTTGTCAGTTAAATCTTAATTATAAAAAAATAATAAACAAAGCCACTCTTAAATAATATGCTTTCAAACATCGATATGCTGTTGTTGATGTTGCATCCCTTGTTAGGGAGCGAACACGAAGGAAACCAAAAACTGGCTATTTAGCAGTTTTATTGCAGATTTACGACCATTTCGTACTTTGTATGTGATTTCGCATTTTGCGATAGATTTCGCATTTTATCGCAAATTGAAAAACCTTCAGAAATATACTGCACTGACCAACAAAAACGAAATTACTTATTTTTTTAGCGGTTAGTAACATTTCGTATTTTTTGCAATTTTCTAAAATCTACCATCTCCAATTATTAACACCGATGTTGTTGTTTTTTGTTTTTCCGATGTTGCATAACTAAAAGACACAGCGTTCCTCGGCCATCGTGCATTTGCTAGCGCGCCCGCGCGGCGTGGCCACGGAAGACCGCCCACCGGCCGTTGGGCAAACACTCTTATCTTTACGGCTGACATTCGCCTCTCCCAAAGCGCCACATAAAGGTGCCTTCCAGATACGCAGAATTCCCCGTGACATCTGAGTGGTCGTTTTGTGCGTCAGAGGGCGCAGTCGTAGGAACGTTGTGACTGGCGTTTCACGTTCTTACACGCTGCATTGTATTTACATGCGGGGATTGTTTTTACTGCCTTGGAAGTGATGGACGGGAACATCTCCCGAGTTCGGAACAAATTTTTCGTAATAAATACTTTTACCAAACTAATTACTCATAAAATTGCTTTTTATAAGGCAAGGAGGAATACTGTGAATACCCCACGATCGCCCTAAATATAAACTGGGGTAATTATTGGGCGTTACACACGTACTCACAGACCTTTTTTCACTATGAAGACGTTCACTGCTCACATGTGTGTTAATTTAAAATCCTGTGAGTAGCGTTACTTCATCCGCATATTGAATCTTCACGAGCAGATTCCTCTACTCGGGTCAACAGAGCAGGTATTGACCAAGGTCACGGTCGACTTAAACTCTCGGTCCTTCTAGTATTTCGGTATATGCGGTGTCTTCAAAACCTACTAGGAACGAAACTTTCTACCTGGTCGTGGCATAACTTCCGACCATCTTCGGTCGGACGTAAATACTTTGTTGCACGAATCCAGGAGGATGCATCGTTCGCGTAGGCAAACACTCGAAGTTATCTTGCTCCTACCGCGCCACGGCTCTCCTGGCGACACACCGTCACGTTGGGTGACGTGTTGGAATGCAGGTGTCTCTCTCTCTCTCTGTCTCTTTCTGTCTTTCTGTCTCTGTATCTCTGTATCTCTGTATATCTGTCTCTCTCTGTATCTGTCTCTCTCTGTATCTGTATCTCTCTGTACCTCTCTCTCTCTCTCTCTCTCTCTCTCTCTCTCTCTCTCTCTCTCTCTCTCTCTCTCTCTGCCTCTTATCGTATAAGGGATTCATGCATTACACCCCCATACTTTTAATCTGAATCTCTACTAAACCTGAATTCCGTTTATGAATCGGGGTGGAGGGAAGGTTTTGTTTGAAGGGAGGGGCCCCGTGAATCAACTTCGCAGGCCCCTGGGTTTCTCCGGGCGCCCCCGACTCAACTTACTGGCACAGAAAAGAATAAGGACTGTTTTCTAGATTAGTAATTGTATCGATTCGTTAAGTTGCTCTTTCGCGGGCGGTCGAGGGAGGCGGCGCAAGCGACGGCATCTGCCGCGACGTCACGCGGACTCCGCTCCGCGTTATCGCCCGCCTCCTCCCCCGCGCCCGCGCCGCCCCCCGCAGGTTAGAACCGCATGTGGCCCCTTCGGGCCGCACCGCACCGCGCCGCGACCAGTGACGCGACATCGACAGAAAAATATCGATGTTAGCAAACATGTGATCTCACTCTAAAAATATCGATGTTAAAAATTCATCGACAAAAAATCATTGATGTTTTTCAACATAGATGTTTATAGAGTGGATTAGTAACCATTAATACCAAATTCGTGAGAATTAAAATTTAATTTGATCGTGTTTGTGTTCATCAATTCGCTGAATAAGGGTGCGAGAAAAGGTGGGACAGACCTTGCGCCCACAGCACATTTGCTGACCATATATCAATGTTCCAAATGAACATGAAGAAAGAGGAAATGCAATAGCATGGAGGTCATCTCGGACGAGAGAGTTAGGTCGATGAAGGTCGTGCATATGGCGCTCCTTTGATTGCATTAAAAACCTCGACATCGATGTCGCATCCCTAGCCGCGACTCGGCGCTCCGTCGCAGCCTCGCCTCCAAGCCCCGTCCTCGCCACGCGCCGCCCTGCAACTAGGCAGGGCAAGCCTACGGGCTGCGTTCGCCTGCTGAAAATGAGCGCCAAATGGATGATGGAAGAAGCGACAAGTTCAAGAACGTTTGAAAATGTAACGGTTTTTAGATTGGATTCCCGTGGAAAACAGCATATAATATCGTACCATAAAATAAATGTGTTGCAGGAAGACCAGAGGACACATACAGAAGGACGGTCTTCAACAAGATGGACAAGACTGGAAAATGGTGGAGAGAGATTTAAGGAACAGCGGGTAATCGAGTTAGATGCAAGTCTTCATCGAGACCTGCGCTCCCCTGAGTAGCGGTAGCGAAGAAGAAGAAGACGGCGAATGAAGGTCCAAGGTAAAATTTCCTTCGAGAACGCAATGTGCTCGAGTAGCTTAGAAGGGATGTTTTAATAGTAGAACATTTTTAGCAAACGTGTTTTAAATAAATAAAGGTACATAAACTAGTTTGTTCAACCGCAATCTAAGTAACATGGGAGAGTCTATAGACTGTTTGACTGTATCGACTGTTCTTAACAGACATTTTACAGCAGGGATTTCCAACCCTTTTACTTCATCGACCACTCTTAAGCAACTTGTTTTCTTCATCCACCCCCTGTTTTCTCTATGATCCATAATTATGGCACAAAGAATTGCAAACAAATGCGTTAAATATAACATTTTCGCACTTCAGTATTTTCATAAATATCTCGATTTTTGAACCATCAAAGACGCTTGCGCTTTTAGAAGTTGAATTTTTAATATTCATTGAAAAGGAATAGTTACAAAATATTAAGTGTTTTTTAAGAATTGGTAATTACATTTCTCCAATAGTAATGCGGGAGTACATCTTTGAGCGATAGAGTGAATGCATAGTTATAATTTCTTGAGTTTTCTAAACATCCTAATTCCCAAGGAGGAACAACGAATAAGAAAGAACAGCGAATTTGTAATTTATTATCATACGTTTGTTGCTTTATATCACAAAACTGTTAAATAAGTTCATTAATATTTTTTTGTAATCAATAGGATCTTGATTATCCTGATCAGGCGGTAGCTCTTAATTGGCCCCAATCGACATCTTAAACATCATTGACACCCCTTAAACATTCCATCGGCTCCCAGGGGGTCTATTCCGACCCCATTGGAAACCCCTGTTCTAAGGAAATGTTCTTCTGGCGGTCTGCTTCGTGTATTGCTCCTGGTGTTTTTAAGGTCAGCAATGATTTTTATTAAAGGTAAAACTGAAGTCCACAAAAGACCGTACAGTGATATCTAATCTCTTCGCTTGAGGCGAACATTACAGTCTCTTGCAAAACGATACAAGCTTTATTCTTTAAAATGCGGGAATATATACTGTAATCACAAGTACGTAGATGTTATTGGGCTAGTCAAGTTTATAATTAAATTTATAGCTGCGTATTTTCCACCAATTAATTTTTCTGAGTCAGGTAGGAAGTATTGCATGTTTTAATTGCGTTATCAGTTTGACGACTCTTTAATTAAACGCACACACAAGTGCGGAGAATTCCGAAACGTTATTATTAACAACCAAAATATACAATCTGACGCACTATAATTTTACTTATTTTTAATTTTCCTCTTTGAACTTATTATGGGGAGGGGGATTATTGGAATCACGACAACAATACGATCTCGAATTTGCGATCGGAAATTCGTGCTTAAAGTTCCGTTGAGCTATAACGTCTCTTACATGTCAGCATTATGATCTGTTAGTGCTGTTCCAAAGATGAAGAGAAGATACAATTTTATACCCAACAATCGGGATGTCAATATGTATAGATGGGAGGAGGGACCACGGATCACAGATATATCAGATTATAAGCTTTGTAACTTGGTAATTACATCAGGAAGATCTACTGACGTTTCAGAGATCATTACGGTATTTTCATATTAGGTAGTACTTCACATGAAGACCCTGTAACATTTTAAAAAGTTTCTGGAAAATTGCCGCGATATTTGTCTATAAATTTGATTGCTCGAAAAGAACAAAGTGCATAAGATACGTATACGGTAAAGTTCCAATTTTCATTAAATCCTCTGAAATTTTGAATATTCCAAAAGTTTATTATATTATAGTTTGTGAATATTGCAAAAATATATTTTCGAATATAACCTATACTCCCAGTATTGCAGCCCGATATCTTTCTCAATGGAATTCATCCCTCAATTCTACATCTTTAAATGATATCATGCACTTAAACAAATGAACAATAAGAGAGAAAAGTCTCAGTGTGCCGGCATCCATTCTGGTTTACATACAAATATGAATATTCACTAAAATGAGTTTGTCACCACTCTTTAGGGGACTAGTCATAACAGTACATGAAGTCCAAGTAATAGAATTCGAATCTAAAGCTGATTTATAAATGCCGAGGAAAATAATTAATGTTTTATGTTTGCGTTATTTTATCGGTCAGAAATAAACGAGCGATGCTGAAACGCAGCCAGAAATGTCGAAATCTTTAGAGTTTGGTTTGACAGACATATGACGAAGACGGAAGGTCATATCAATACATTTCTGAATTCTGGGAACGTGATAAGAAAGGACACATTTATCGATCGATCAAAATCTGACTCACCATTCTAGATCTGCTTGTGTTAATTTCAATTTCTACTTAATTTCTTGAAGAAAAAATAATTTAGTAATCACCAAAAGGCAATAATTTTCATACAAAAGGTAAACCAAAATGTTTTACAATGTTGTTAGTTGTCCGCTATATATCGCTGTTATGTACTACAAAATTTCTAAAATGTAGTTGATGAAGAGACTAAATCCATATGACGCAATTGTTCTAGGCTCTTTTGGTAGGGTTATTAAAATACTTTTCAAAAGTAGTGTAGCGCACTTCTATTCTGAAAGATCTTATGGGTAAAACAATTGTATTTTAATATATTAACATTTTATTTTCGTAAATTTCTGTTGTAAAAATCAGCATGTGTGGAGCTGTATAGTCATTAAGGCTTTATCTCGCTATTTTTCAACTAATAATATTAATGTTTATATTTATTCATTGAGTTTTTAATTTTTTTACTTTATGAAATCTAGTAAATTCATCAAATACAAAATCTCAAATGAAATACTTGAAACATTCTTAGTTTTTTTCAAAAACTACAAAAAAAAATGAAAATTGTACTTGTGTATCTACAATGTAATGGGCAAATTTGAAGAAAAAGCGCGAAGAATCTTTCGATTCTACCCTAGAAATATCCCCATAGAAACACGTAAAAAATGCGAAAATTTTCCAATCGGCCAATAGCTGCTAAAATATCGAAGAATGTACAGAAAAAAATGCAGCCAGGGCAATGTCAATATCTCTTATCACGGCCCAAAAATAAGTTTCAAAAAATTAAAAATAGAGTGAAAATTGTTTTATAGGTAAAAGGTTTATTGGTTAAGGGACCCAGAAAGTTAATTGACCCTTCTCGTTTTAAGCTACGCACACCTATGCTTCGGGTAAAAATATTCCTAACTGGAATCTTGGAGACTGTAAACCCTCAGAAAGTGTGCCGTTAATCACTCACCCGTTGTGCTCAGTGAAAAGAGGGTATCTCGGGGTGAAGATGCAGCTGGCCGAAGTCCCCATGCCGATGTGGGTAGTGAGTGATCGCGTGGGCGTGGTCCGCGAGCATTCGCGAGGCACTGGGTCTGAGCTGTGAGATCACGCGACTCCGAGAGGACGTTCTGCCGAGGAAGAGCGCTGTGTTTTGCTTCGTGTCGATTTTGCGCAAACTATTCCCAAACAATACGAGGAAATTAATATGACCTCAAACTCTTCCTTCTTTCGCGATGAGTCACCACATCTCGCCCGCAAATTCCTCTCTCTCCGCTCGTGTTTCTTACCTGTATACAATGAATTCTCCAATTGCAATTTTGCAATGCGTGGAGCCCCACCGACGCCGACGCAAAAGAAAAAACTGTATTACTAACTATTCATGACCTGAACGATTCATGTCTACATCATTCATTTTTTGTCTTCTGTGCAATTTCTTTTGTGTTTTTGACCCTTTGTCACAGATGAGCAAATTGAAAGTTTAACAAAAGATTAAAAGAAAGAAACAAAATCGAAGAAGAGAAATGAGCCAAGCCGACATTTTGGTTACTAAAATTAAACGATAACGTCTGAATCTGTTAAGAAACCCGCTACATAAATTGGCAGGTCAGAGAAATTATTGGTCCTTCTTAGAAAGCGAAAATAACAATTATAATCTGTGCTTGGAGCCAAAACATCTTGAAATCTGAAGAGTAAAATCGTATACGTATTGTTCCCTTAACATCTCACAAGTACAGTTGCAGTTCGGCGTCGCCGTTCACCTACACAATAAGCATGGTCAATAGAGTAAAATCAAACTGAAAAAAATGAAGAGCACATTTGTGAATGCATTGAAAAATGATATTTTTAGGTAGAATTTTTACGATTCTTCCCTCATCTTTTAGGGTTCTTAATAGCCAGATTCTCTTCATATTTTTGAGAGTTCGTGGCATTAAATGAAGCAATTACCTCGAAGCCCTTCCTTCAGAAAA